TGAGTACTAGGGTCTCTCTGGCCAGGAACGCAAAGAACAAGATTTGCTTGGCCCTGTCCAGAGCCATCTTGCAGAGCCATGCCTACAACGGAAGAGCCAGCAATGCTGAGTGATGTTTTATGCCATCTCAAGAGAGCCCTGTTCAGCCCACTGGGGTAAATGGAAGTGGCTGATGCTTCAAGATCTCTGAGAGGAGTCCAAACTACCCTTCTTAAAGAAACTAGGTGGGACTGTTGACTCAGGCCCTCAAAGGGGGAGCCATGGTTATTCTGGAGGTGCAACCTTAAAAACGTCCTGATGGGAAGCACTTGAGAAAGGGTGATCAACCTAACTTTATAAAGACAGTCTGTTGTTTCTCTCATCAACAAGGGGACAGACAGCCTGAAGGACAGAAGACCGTAAATGGAGTTAGAGCCAATTTTAACCATATTATCCTGTATTGTGTTTTTTTTCCTGAGTCTAATCTTGAGTTGGGAGTTTGATGTGAAGGTGTAGCCTATTGCCTTTGCATATCTCTGAGCTTCCCCTCACTTTTTCTGTGGGCACAAGGCATCCAAGGACTTACAGGAGCCATGACCACAAGAAAAGCAGTCACTAGCAGGGGGATGGAGGATGCCATTAGAGTCCTATGTGTGCAGGGGCATTTGTGCTCTTTGACATTTCTGGCTCCTTATGCTGCACTTGGCTAAACCTCCTCCTGACAGTACCAGCTCTGAGCAGCATTCAGCTCTAATTTAATATTGTTTTACAGCTCACTTTTTCTTATTTAAAAGCTGCTTTAGAAGAGCCAAACCCAGGAGTCTATGGCTGGCCTTTCCAAACACACCCTTAAAAGGAGCTCATTCTGACGCTGATGAGAGGGTCCTGAGAAACTCTCGTTCAGATGCTGTATGCGCCTGCTTGATGATTACATGCTCTCACAGTATGACGTTTTTCCATACAAAACCCCTGCCTCTCTCAGAGTACAGGGCAGACAGGGTTAGCTGAGGGAGCAGCAGCTAGTTAATATTTTGTTTTGTCCTCATTATTCCATATGTGGCCCTTGGCATTCACTGCAAGCAACTCAAGCCTGATTTGTAAGACAGAATGATTAATTTCCTTATGGAGTTTTTTTTCCCCTATAGCTTCCTTGCAAACAGTAACTTAGTTTCATAACAATCCTATGAGGTGAGAGGCTAAATTCAGCCATGTTTCACAGAAATAATACATAGAGGGCGCGGTGCGTCTACATGTGCATTAATGAGGCTTGTCTAATGTGAATTCAATCTAGTACCTCTGACATGAGGGACTAAATTAATGCACATTAGGCTGCGCTAATGTGCAGTAGCACATGTGCATGTATTTTAGTGACAATGCACAGTAGACTGTTTTACTGCACATTAGCATAATGTCACAGTTTTTACATAACGCTTTAATGCGCAGTGAATAGTCTACTGTGCATTAAAATGCACATGTAGACATGCCCAGAGAGATTAAGGTCAGAAGGGTTCACTAATTTTTTATGCCCATTTGAGAAACATTAGGGCCAGATGTTTAAGGTATCTTGATGCCTAAAGATGCTGATGGTCCATCAGTACTTTTCAGGATCCTCCTATGCATCTGGCTCAGATTTTTTTCTCAGAGCAGCAAAAAGCATGCTTCTGACACCAAATCCACCCCTGTTCCTTACTGCCCCAGCCCAATTTCCACTCACTACATGGGGAATTAAAATAAATTCTTACAACTAATTTGTTTGCATGTGCAGACCACCATGTTTTACTCTTCTTTTGTTCCCCTAAATGACTGAGCTATTTTTGTGGAAACACACTGAAGATATTCAGCTTGTGGCAGGCTCCCAGTACAAAAAACTTCAGCCTAAACAGTTTGAAGCTGGCAGAGTTAAGAGTTGAGAGAAACTGAAAAAAGGTCATAAAATGGGAAGTGCTGGGCAGCCTTAATTTTGGATGCTGTTTTCAACCACGTTTTTCTAATTAAACTATGGTTTTGCTGTTTATCAGTTCCTTTCTCCTGCTTTAAAAATAGCTCCTAGTGAGAGATGGACTTAGCCAGTGTGAGAATCATTAAGTCATTTGCCAATTGGAGGCACTCCCCCCTTGAGGCAATTAGAGCCAGCCTGTCAGGCTGCAGCCTTGAATGGAGGGCCTTGGCCTGCCCAGATCAGCCTCTCACCCTGGTCTGCCACCTCTCCAGCTGACCATTGAGTCTGAGCAAAGCTGACCAGAAACTCCATTCTGGTCTGGCCACCCACCGACTCCCTGCCATGAGAGCAGTCAGTGAGGGTCAGCTGACCCTTCACTCTCTCCCAGATAAACCCCTGGCCCTAAGAGAAGGAGCAAAGGGCTTAACTTTTACCCAGACCATCTTGTTGCTCCTTATAACTTATGCCTGCCTGCTTTCTTCTTTATCTCCTGGCTACCTGACTTGGCTTGTCCTCTAACTCTGTGCTCCATCTGATCCTTGGGCTTGCTAATTTGGCTTATTCCTAGACCCTGTTCTCTGCTTAGTCTCCTGGTTACTTAACCCAGCTGGCCCTCTGACTCTGCACTCTGCCTGACCCTCCATCTTCCCAACTCAATTTCTTCCTGGATCCAGTGCTTGGACTGACCTCCTGGCTTCCTGACCTGGCCCTGAATTCTGTTTATTTCTCCTGACCCTGATTGGCCTCTTGAAGCCTGAATGACTCCCAGACCTAGCCACTAGGCCTGTGCGAAGTGGCAAGTATTCGCTTCAGATTCGGCCAGTTCGGGGGACAGTGATTTGATTTGTAGATTTGAATTACTGTCCCAATTTGATTCAACTGAATCAGATCCGAAAGATTCAATGCTGCTTCGGAGATTCGGCCGTAGACTAAACATGCAACTGACACAGCTGCCTCCAGCTGGTAAGTCTGTTGGGGTTGGGGGAGGAGACATTCAGAAAGTGGGTGCCTAAAATTAGGCTCTTAAACACATATTTAGCAGCCTAAATAAATTACTCAATTTTAAAAGGGTGGAATACCTAGCAAGCCCTGCAGTGATCAACAGGAGATGGCGGGCAGGAGGGAAGGGTCGTGGGAGAGGGAGGGAGGGATTGGGGCTGGGACAAGCTGTCCAGCCAGGATGGGAGGGTGCATTATTCGGAAAGGGTGGGGTGTGGGATGCAGGCGCAACAGTGCTGGGAGTGGGGGCTCTTCCCTGCTGCTGCTTGCCCAGCTGGGGCGGGAGGAAGGGGCGGGATGCGGGTGCAGCTTGCTCCAGGCGGAAGGGGGCAAGCAGCAGCAGGACAGAGCTCCTACTCCTAGTGCTGCTGCACCCGCATCCTGAACCCCCCCATACCTGCTTTTCAAGTGGCGGCAGGGCAGAGCCCCCGCTCCCAGTGCTGATGTTTGCACAACAGCGATGGGAGCAGGGACTATGCC